AACGTGGATGAATAAAATGACAGGAGATTTCCATAAGATTTATACTAGTTTTAACTAACTCACCAACTAACGGAACATTTAAAGATGAGCATGATCCCCATCATGTTACTCACATGTAGTTGCATTCCATTCACGCTATCGGTGCTTCATTCACATAAAACCATTTTTCTGTCATTTTGCATAGGGTCTGTCGATATCATTTATTGTGTGAAGAGCCTTGAGCATATTTAAATTTCTGGTACATTCAGTAAGCATCAAGCCTAGGAACTCTCCAGTTTAGAAAGGAAAGTGATACTGCTTAACTGTATATCTTTAAGTTTCTCTTGTTATTTTTTTAATATTTTAATTAATTTTTTAATATTCTTTAGGATTATCCCACTTGTCTGCCAAAGAACTTCTGCTAACTACTACAAGATGCCGTTGACAAAACAGTATATAAGAAAATAGAAGACCATCTTTTTTCTTTTTTCTCTACAGGATAAACTTATTCCTTATATTGATCACAACATAAAATATTAGATAGTATACAATGCGTGTGGCTCTACAGAAGGATGCTGACAATACCATCAACTAAAGATGTGAGCAACGGTGAAGTATTTCGAGAAAAGTGGAATAAAAAGGAAACTGATATTTAGAATCAGAAAGAGAAAGTTGAAATATCTAGGGAACATAATGTGAAAATGGCTTGGGGAATTTGTTACTTACATGGAAGGTAAGAGGGGTAGAGGAATGTAACGCATAACTTACTTCATGGGGAATAGGAGAGAAATGACAAGAGCTAAAAAGCAGAGGAAATTGTGGAGAACCACGTCCTGACGATACTCGGCATTTAGAAGGAGAAGAAGCAGACGTTACTAACGTAACGTTACATTTATATTACTCATGGTATGTATTTCTTCTTGAAGATTTCAATGTCATCTCAATGGCTTATTATCAACTTGATCGGTTAAAAGCGTGGTAAAAGTCTATTTCTAACAATCTCTTGAAATTAGAAAATAAATTTGAAGATAGATAGATAGATATGAGCAGATTGAAATACGTGTAAATGAAAATGTGTGTGAATTCGAAGAAACGAAATAATCCTCAAACACAGCTTTATAAATTTAAATAATTTTATTATTGAGTATAAAAGTAATTTTTTTTCTTTCAAGTTGAACGGAACAAGTTATAAAGTTCCTCGCAAACACAGCTCAACGAAAAATATTTTGTTTTCTTCTTTATAACAGAAAAAATGAATTGCGTTAGTATGAGTGAAAAGATGTATTGTGACTACATATGCGAGAATCACGTATTTACGTTATCTTATGTATACGTGTATGTTCTAGCAATCAGACAATGGATACTATATTGTTACTGCTTCTATAATTCGTGTTTATATATATATATATATATATATATATATATATATATATATATATATGACGCTCGTATGTTTTTCGTGTTGCATAATTTACTTAAAAAGCGAGAAGTTATCTGCAAGAAGAAACTTTTTAGGACCTAATAATTATACGAAAGCTGATTAATGGTCAATGCTTTACTGAAAACAGGTGTATTATTTTACGCTATGCTTAATAAAAAACAAACAAACAAACAAAAAAGTCAGATCAGAGGAAGTTAAAACTTAGATTTACTAAACTCAGAATAAATATATTTCTCAATTTTTAATTTGTAATTTGAGTAGGGAAATATTGTTAACCATTTTCAGGAGTGATCTTTCAAAATTTTGCAGCAAACAACAAGGATGTCGTCTGATTTTTTAAAGATTCAGTGGCCTTTGCGATATCGTCCCTGATTGGTTAATCAATGCTAATGTGGAAATGTAAATAGTGTGAGCCTACTTTTGCTAAAAAAGGAGTTTATGTCAGTGTGAGCCCAATTTTGCACAGAATTGACATTGTAGTCTTATCTATTGAATTTCTTTCTACAATATTAAACGGGGTTCAACAGATGGATAGAGAGATATGAACAGATGAGCAGAGCATATATGAACAGACTTAGATATGAGCAAATTCAGATAAATAGATAGATATGAGTAATCTGAGATAAAGAGATATAAACAGACGATAGTTATGAGCAGAGTGAGATAGAGCGAGACTAATAGAAAGATATGAGCAGACTGAGAGAGATAGATAAGAGAAAATATATATGTGTGTGTGTATGCGTGTGTATACAGACTGAGAGAGATAGATATTAGCAGACATATATATATATATATATATATATATATATATATATATATATATATAGAGAGAGAGAGAGAGAGAGAGAGAGAGAGAGATAGATATATTGATAGGTAGATAGAAAGAAATATTTAAATAGGAATCGTGGTTATATTCTGACACTCCCTTGAAATTAGAAATAAATTTGAGTTTTCTGTGACCTTCCCAGAGAAATGTGCCGTATTTTGACAATCTGTACCGAATGGACTCAAAGTCATGTTCTCACTGGGAATCAACGTTTATAAAATCTTCTGACACGCACGGGGACATGTCTCCAAATGTAGGGACCATTATATTTCACTTAGCTAAGTGGAAGGCCCAACATTTTCCATTTTCCGCGACTCCATGAGATACCCACTTTCCTTTATCATTAAATTTGCTTGATCGCCTGTCTTTCAAAATAAATAAATAAAAACGTGCGACTGGAGTGGTAAAAATGTCGCAACATCAAACCTTTTTCATTCATGGCTGATTTCCGGAAAGCTCTCAAGTCATCGCCACTTGAAACATCCGATTCCATCAACAAATGATATTGACAATATAATTCCTTCTATTTGAGGAGAGCGCTGGAAATTTGGATCCTTCACGAGTTGAACAGGCGGATATTCTGGATAACTGAAAAAAAAAAACAGGTTACCGTGCACTTAACCCGAAAGGAAGGAATTGGCATGCTTCAGTAACGATCTGGGTTGTAAACCGAAAAGCGAGTTGATTTGAACCTTATAACAAGCTATTATAGGAGGCGTAACCCGTTTTTTTTTTATTAAAAAAAAACAACCATGTAAACGAACAAAGAAATAAAGAAAACAAAAATGTCAATTGCATTTTTAAAATTAAGTAGTTAATTAGGAAAGAGTACTGTATTGTTATGCAATATCGGTACCCCTATATGTTAGTGAATGCTGGACAACCTCACCACAGACGAAGAAGAGACTTAAAGCGACAGAAATGTGATTCTGTAAAAGGTATTGAGAATATCACGCGTGCGTACCCCATACAGCCAGATAAACACTTTTTGGACATAAATAAATTTTCTGATAAACTAGACTTTGTCTTTGGAATTTTAATTGCCATGCTCCTATATGTTAGTGAATACTGGACCATTTCATCGCAGATGAAGAAGAGACTTGTGTTAACAGAAATGTAGTTCTACAGAATGATGCTGAGACTATCATGGACTGAACACGTGGGCGAGAACGGAATTTTAGAGAAAATGGGAACAGAAAGGACATTTACTCGTACCGTCAGAAAGAGACGGTTGGAACTTCTAGAGCACATAGCTAGGACAGAGGGCTTAGAAATTTTTACCGCTTACAGGATATATTGAATGCACTAGGGACAGAAGTGAGCAGCACATAATCTACCTAACAGGGTTTTGTACATTGTTGGCAGGACAGGGATTAGAAGATATAGCAAAAAAAAAAAAAAAAAAAAAAAAAAAAAGACAAATTTTACCATGAGCTAAAAAGAGAAGAAAGTTGTGGAGAGTCATGATCATCCATGACCTGAAGGGACATGGCACATAAAAGAAGAAGAAGAAGAAATTTCTAAACAAACATTAGCTATTTATTTCGCAGAGATAATTAAACTTCTTTTATGTATCGTGGCTCTTCAGGACATAAGCGATATAGCTCCTCGCAACTTCCTACACGTTGCAGCATTTAGTAATATTTTTCTTTCTATTATCACGCTCAGTCTCTGTTCTGCCACCCATTTATACAAGTTTGTTAGATTAGCCGATTTTCATTTCTGTTCCTCTTGCCTTCCATATCTTCCGTGTGGCAAATTCTCCTATCCTCTTTCCTCATTACGCGTCACAGGAATTTTAACATCCTTTTCCGGTTTTTAGTATAAGTTTTCTTTTTGTTGCTATTGTTCGTAAAACTTCCTCATTGTTCAAATGTCTGCTCTATGGAATCCTCAATATTCTTCTGTAGAACCAGATCTCAATCTTATCTTCATCCGTCAAAAAATTGTCCAACATTCACTGTCATTTTGGAAGTTGATATTACACATGAATTTAGCACTCTATTCTTTGATTCTAACGAAACTTTCCTGTTTCTTAATACTCTCTTTTTGGAAAGCATTATTCGCTATTCCAATGCACCTTCAGATTTCTCTGACACATTTTTGTACGACTCTTCCCAGATATTTAGATTTCACTTCCCAGTGGAGATACCACTATCAATAATTTAAATATGTGGGAAGTTTTCTTTTTAACACAGAACGGAAAGTGCGACAATGAAATCCGAAGATGCATTGGGATAGCGAAAGGTGTATTTCAAAAGTTAAGCAAAGTATCAAGAAACAGAGATAATTTGTTAGAAAAATTCGTTAGAAACAAAAAAAATAGCACTGAACTTTTAAGTAATATAAATCCTCCCATAAGGCAGTGAATGCGGTAAATCTCACAGATAAAGAACAGACTTGAAGCAACAGACATGTGGTTCTACAGAAGGATGCTGAGAATGCCATGGACAGAACATGTAAGCAACGACAAAGTTTTAGGGAAAACGGAAACAAAAAGGACACTTATACTTAACATTAGGAAGGAACAGTTGAAATTTCTAGGGCACATGATGAGGAAAGAGGGCTTAGAAAATATCATACACACAGGACAGGTTCAAGGGACGAAGGCCAAAGGAAAACAAAATACAACCTACTTGGAGATCTTCAGTAAATGTATGCTGAAATAAGATTTAAGAGAGGTAACAAAAAGATAAAATTTATAAAGACATTCATTCGTGAAGAGCTATGGTCACCAACGTCCTGAAGGGATACGGCACATAGAAGAAGAAGAAGAAGAAAGAAAGAAAGAAAGAAAGAAAGAAAGAAAGAAGAAGAATGGGAGGTGCAGGACGACGACGAAGAGGAGGGTGAGAAGAAGAAGAAGAAGAAGAAGAAGAAGAAGAAGAAGAAGAAGAAGAAGAAGGTAGATGATGATGATGATGCAAGAATGAAATGAAGAAGTATACAAGAAAAGCGCATAAAAAAAAAACACACAGAAAGAAAAAAGATAAAAAAGAAACGAAAAGAAAGAAACTAAGAAACGGAAAGAATAAACCAAAGAAAAAAGTGGACGAATAAAAAAATGAGGAAAGTGAGAGACAAAATTTCAATGGAAGTGAAGAAGAGAGAGAAGCAAAAAGAAAACAAAGATTACATAGAAGAAGCAGAAGTAAAAGGAGAACAAAGATTACATAGAAGAAGAAGAAGAAGAAGATGAAGAAGAAGAAGAAGATGACTTGTTTCATTTGACATCTCCAATTTGTAGCTTTACCTTACGATGTACTTTTTGTTAACGATCATACATTCTGTTTTCTTACGAAGATACATTCTAAAACCATTGAACAAAATTTCATATTCATTTTAATCTGATTTTTAAAGCACAGCACAGAGACTGTCTGTCGAAACTTGTACAAACCGCTTTTAGATTAATAATTTCAGAATTCCGTTCTTAATTATCAAACTTTTACCCCTATCTCCAGAATGTCTAAAAATAAATCTGAAAACAATTTGGAAACCGACTGAACATCAATGAAAAAAAGCCAGAATCTTGCCGACACATCTTGGCACTAATCATCATTATTGATTTTCATCCTTATCAGCAGAATTTGTGGTGTCATTGTATATATATATATAATCATTAAAGCGAACAAAATGTGTAACGACTTTGTTTATTAATCCTGTTTGTGGCATCATGACTTACATAAGAAGATAATAAAAAGAGGTTTCAATAAAATGATAAGTGTTCTATCGGTAAAGTCATACTGTAGAAGAATTCAAAATTGCGTCTGTGAGAAAGTGACTGTAGACGAGATGGATACAAAATACTTATTTTTATTAGATATTTATAAGTATATGATCCTACAAGACTGTTCATAGAAAAATGATTGTTTATAGATGTAGTTCCATATTTCGAGTTGGCTCTGGGGTAAAATTCCGCAGGTTTTGATGCGAAGAGGCTTTCAATAAAATCTTGATTCTTGTTTTAATTAGATAATGTTTTCTCTATCAAAGCTTTTTGTAACGATTGAAAAAAAGTACAGGGTTTGTGTGAGGTTAGGCGAATATGGTTGGTAGTGTAAACAGACCAATTGACTTCAAAGATTTTTCTATTATTCTTACTGCATTCGGCCTTGTGTTGTGAAAGAAAAGAACAGTATTTTTCCTTTCATCCACTGTGTATGCTGCCACTAACGAGCAGAAACTAAGATATGTTAGTATACTCCAATTTCATTTTTAACTGCCACATATGATTACTAATTAGGATAATATATTCTTCATTACAAGTGGTTTCCATAAACAGAAACTGCTTATGACTCAACCTAAATCATTTCTACATGATGTATTTCAAATCAAGCAGTTCCTCCCGATTGATTGTCAACACAACCCCCACCCTGTCGCCACATTCATGCGGTCCTGTGCCAGATGAAGCTGAGCCGAGTAAATATATTTCCCCTCAGACAGGAATCTGAATTATGTGAAAGTCGAACAAGACAAGAGCGCTTCTTCATAAACAAATGTTTTTATTGGTTGAGTAACATCACGTGATTATTGTCTTTTAGTCGAGCTTACTCTTCTACGGAACTTTTATGGCTTCCTAGCGGAATCATTGTGCTTTCTCAAGCAGGTCTGTGCGATCGATCGTTGTCTGTCCGTATTAATGTTTCCACTGTTGCAAAATGTTTATGTTATAATTGTTATTAAGTGATTTGCCTTGCAGTGCCATTCAGCGATTCAGGTCTTATCAAACGTTGCATCAGTAAGCAGACGAGAAGTTCCGTCTGATTTGAGCGGATGTCACCGACTTTTAGCATAATTTTAGGCAGACTTTTCCTCGATTACAAGTTGTAGTTCAAACGAAGGTAACCAGATACTTTTTCAGTGACTCAGAAGTAAAAATTAAACGAGAATAGAATATGTGAAATGGATTTTCATACTTGTTTTGCTGAGTGATTTTTTTTGCTTTTTAAAAATTTTCGTTGGAATTCGTAAAAATGATTTTAAAATATTTAAAATCAATTAATATTAAAATGACTAATGCAATAACAATGATTACCAAGAAAATTAAATATTAATAATTGAGTTAATGATTTAATGAATTGATAAAAAATGTCCAATTATAAAAAAAAAAGAAAAAACAAATTAAAAACTTCGTTAACACTCTCTCAGTAATGTGGGTCATTATCACAGCATTACTAGTTTAATATATAATAGATATATCATTTAGATCTTAATTTTATTGTTATATATATATATATATATATATATATATATATATATATATATATATATATATAGTCTTGAGTATACTTTCTGGATATAATAGGATGAATAAAAATGAAGATAATATTTTTTGTTTTGAACAATCGAATACTACAGGCATCACACACACACACACACACACACACACACACACACACACACACACACACACATATATATATATATATATATATATATATATATATAATAATAGGTTAGTAGGGTTCACACTTCCCGCCAGTTCCTTGAATAGGAGTAGATGTTTATTCCTTGTTTCTTGGTTAGGGTTGGGTTTCCAGTTCCTTGCAAAGTTTACTTCAACTATATATTCATCACCGCCTAAACTCTGAAATTTTATTTACTATTTACTTTCCACAGTAGGAGTAGATAGGTTCACCTATCGTCCGGTTCACACTTCTCTCCGGTCTTTTGAAAAGGAATATAGGTTAATTCTTTGTTTCCTGTTTAGGATTGGATTTCCCATTATTTCTAAAATCTTCTGATTCTCTTTCAATTCGAGTACCCCCTAGTGTCTTGGTGACATCATTATCACCTTATTTGGGGTGAATTTATATATATATATATATATATATATATATATATATATATTACAATTTGCTATTTTTTATGGGAAAGATTTAAAAATCTCCGAGATAGAGACGTTGTAGATATATACCACATAGTAGCTACCAGTTTCGGCCCACAAGATGTCACAGAACAAGTGAATACCTTTCTGAAAATTGCTTATCGCTAACTTGATGAATCTTATGTCCACAATCTATCTATCTATCTATCTATCTATCTATCTATCTATCTATCTATCTATCTATCTATCTATCTATCTCCTTACCTTACGGGCATAAAACGTTGACACTACCGGTTCTCGTACGATCGCCGAAGTCTAGCTCGGTCAGTACCAGGACAAAACACCTGACATGATAACTTTTGACATTGTTATAAGTTTTTCTTAAAAAATATATATATATTATATATATATATATATATATATATATATATATATATATATATATATATATATATATATATCAAAGAGAAAATAAGCCGTGAAGATTGTGTTGCATATATATAACAGTTAGGGAGGTTCTTTTTTCAAGAGTTTATTTACTGAGTTTAGTTTCTGATGTAAAATTCTCAAGTAAAATTTACTTTTTTTTACCTCTATTAAATTTTCACTGTTTTTAAAGCGTTTGTGATTGCCTGTTGATTAGCTAAAATTCTTTAAAGTTCATTTATACAGAGTTTGTAAGTAATATAATTTGTGCTTAACAGAAACACTCAAACCAAAACACTATAAAGCGACATATTGTCTCTTATATAGGCACCACCTTTCATGTATTAAAAAAAGCTCTAGCTGAAATGTTAATGTCTCCTTTAGAAACAATCAGCTTTTCACACGTTAAAAATTCTGGCAATCTCTTCAACAAATCGAAAAAAAAAAATAATACGAAAATAAAGTCAGGGTTTTCTAAGAAATTAAATCCGTATATACACAACGTACTCGATGACAAATTTCTAAATATTCTAAGTCACTACCCAACAGTATCATAATTCTTAGAATCCGGCTTGCACATTTTTTTTTTTACTAATGTTCAACCAATTAAAGGCTCAAGAGCCCACCAAGGCAGAGAGGGTTACTGTTTGGTGTTGTATTAGCATAAAGAAGGGCAAGAAATGAAGTTCTTGGGGCTATGCAGGAAAGAGAAAGGCTAACTCTAGACTTGAAGAGGTCATGGGTGAATTAGTGAATAGCATTTCAGAGTTCAGTCGGACACGTTAGAAGAAATAACGTTGAAGTAGTCTTCAGACGGAACCGGAAACCCAATCTTAAAAAGAAAGCAAGGGATAAACCTCTTCTCCTGTTCAAAACCTGACAAGGAGTGTGAATCCAATGATAGGCGAACCTATCTACTTCTATTGTGGGAGGAAAAAATAAAATAAATAATTAGTGGATAAGATTTCCGAGTTCAGGCGGAGATGGTTTGGTGTATAGAGTTGAAATAGATTTTGGAATGAACTGGAAACCCAATCCTAAATAAAAAAACAAGGAGGAAACCTATACTACTGTTCAATAGACCAGGGAGTAGAGTGAAGTGGCCGATAGGCGAACCTATCTACTCTTACTGGGAGATAAGAAAAAATAATTAGTGAATAATGTTTTAGAGCTTAGTCGGAGACGTTAAAAGTATAGAGTTGAAGTAGACTTTGGAAGGAACCAAACCGGAGACGTAATTCTAAACAGGAAACAAGGGATAAAATTCTATTTCTTTTCGAATTTTTTCTTTCATATTTTACATGTTTATATCCATTATTAATCATTTTATTGAGAAAGAGAACCTAGAAGAAAAAATAAACAGTAAATATTAAAGATCTGTCGATAATCTATCCCCCCCTCTTCTTTCTTTTCTCTACTGTTGGTCATATCGGACGACACGGCAATTATCCGCTCTTTGCTATACCTGAATTTAATTCCCCTCTAAGACACTACGTGTCTCTTTATAATTTCTTTTTTTAATGATGTTCATCCAATACAAAGCCCAAGAGCCACTCAAGGTAGAGGGTTACTGCGTAGTGTGGTATGAGCATAAGAAAGAGCAAGAAGTGAAGTTCTTGGGGCCATGCAGGAAAGTTAAAGGCTAACGCTATACTTGAAGAGGACAAGATCTAATTAATGAATAACATTTCAGAGTTCAGTCAGAAACGTTAGAAGCTGAATACTTTTGTCAGATATAGGAAACCTTACTAATGTGTCCGTACAAAACTAGATTAAGGGATCTTATAAACAAATTAAACAAAATAGGAACTTTAAATGATATCATATATAAAAAAAAGGTACAATTAAAACTTTACAACCACTTGATAATCTATTAATCCGAACTATCAACAAGTTAAGTGGCATACGTGTTACACACTTGGGCGATCTTGTCTCTTTCGATTCATGACTGTATGGGCAGAAGATTTTCCGAGT